AGTAGCTCAAACCTACACTCAAAGTCCCATTCAAAACAAAATGCCTAACAGTAAACTGTTCCAGCAGTAGCATTTTGCAGGTTGTTATGTTGCTTTCACACCAACAATCTCAATGTGCCTGCCAGCCTTAACTCTGAGTATATAAGCAGCTCCTTACTTAAGTGTGAGCCAGCAGTGTGCTGCAGCTCCCAAAAAAAGAAATTCAAGGTTGCATCAAGAGACGCATAATTTCACAATCATGTGAAGTGTTAGTACCATTTTATACTGCATGGATGAGACCACGCTTGGAATATTGCACACCCACTGCCCGTGATACTCCAGATGCTCGGCAGACTGTCACGCAGGCGCCGTACGCTCCATGCACGTGCGCAAATGGTCCGGTTGGGTCAAATACAGGTAAGGATGGGGGGTAGGCAGGCGGGCCCTCCGGAGCACCATACCGGAACAGTACCTGGTGCTCCCAGCAGGCACCGGTACACCCGTACTGGGGCGTACCAGCCGTAATCCACCACTGGATTAGGGGTGATATGATAGCAGCCTTCCAGTACTTGAGGGGCTGCTACACACAAGAGGGAGTAAATGTATTCTCCAAAGCACTTGGCAGTAGGACAAGTAGTAACAGGCAGAAGATCATTAAAGAAAGATCCAACCTAGAACTAAGGAGAAATTTCCTGACAATGAGAACAATTAATCAGGCTTCCCTCCAGTAGTTGTGGGTGTTCTATCACTGGAGGTTCTCCAGAAGAGACAGGACAGCCCTTTGTCCAGAATTATATAGGATCTCCTTCCATGGGCAGGGGGTTGGAGTATGTGCAAGACGGCCACTCACAGAACCTCAGTCAGCAATCTCACTGAGATTGCATGCTAAGTTGAATATGGGGAAAGTACAGTATGTCAAACCTTCAAAAATATTTAACAATAAAACTATAGTTTAAGATAATAAAACTAGCTGTTTTAGGATACTAAGATACCTATAAGTTTTATAAATAAATAAATGCATACATATAGTACATATTGAAATTAGCGTAAAAAGTTTCAAATGCTGGAAAAATGACCGTAATAATTATTCAATACCTGAATATTGTTTCCAATCCACCAGTAAAAAAGTGTAAAGTTAGAGTTCTTTGGCAGGATGATGGCTGTCAAATTCACCTCCCGGTTTCTGCCAACAGCAGGAACTACTTCAAGATGTAAAGCCTGCAGTGGAGCTGGAAAGAGTCCCGACTGTTAATTGAAAAGCCATTAATTTATCAAACATCTTGTGCTTTCAAATACATCTTCTTAAAGATGCACTAGAATGCTCAGGGACATCTTTTAAACTTTTCAAGCAAATTCAAGAGAACACCACCTTCCTTAGGGACTGAATTAAACTACATCAAATTTTATTGCTTAATAGAAAATTAATGTTAGCAATTCTCACTGCAAATTAAATTGTCTTAAGTTTTTATAGCTTGTTGAAATTTTAATTAAGATACTTTTTTAAAATTTCCATTTATTTTATTTGGAAGACTTAAATAAATATTGCATTTATATTCCTTCCAAATCAGAAGGGGGAAACATAAAGATGATGGGTTGTATATACAGTATATATTAGATAGAAGCAAATAGAAAGAGTGAGATATTCAGTTAGGAGACCGCAGAGTTTCCAAATACTGGGAACAAGAGATTGTGAAACCTCTGAACTTGTCTGACCAAGTCTAGAGAAAGCTTTACATTTGCATTATTTACACCGGTTATTTACACCGCAGAATAGTTACAAGCTGCATGAGATACAGAGACTCTTTTTCCCCCAATATTGTTGCAGACTGCATGTGGCTGTGGACCATGAGACTGAAATAGTGATCCTACAGTTCTACAGGGAGATTCCCTTACATTAAAGTTAATTTCATATGAGTGAAGTTCTGGCACTGTACATCACTATTTCCCCCCAATTCAATTGCTACTCATTGTTGACAATGCATTTATTAGAAAACTATAGTATTTGTTTGTTTGTTTGTTTATTTATTTATTTATTAGACTTATATACCGCTTCATAGGGCT